TTCTGGGCTGATTTAAGCCAGGGCACGGCTAACTCACAGATCAAACCCTGAAACAACCTCTAGGCTGATCTAAGTCAGGGCATGGCTAACTCACAGATCAAACCCTGAAACAGCCTCTGGGCTGATTTAAGCCAGGGCACGGCTAGCTCACAGATCACACCATGAAACAACCTCTGGGCTGATCTAAGTCAGGAAACGGCTGACCCACAGATCAAATTGGAATTTAGCGTGTTGAACGCAAGGCTCCAGAGGTGATAGGCGAATGCACTACCGCTACACTACCCTTGATTCTGAAGATAATTCATGAAAACAACCTTCATATATCATGTCACGTTATTGTACGACATATACGTTACAGTCGTTTTTATGCGTCTATGAAAAGTCACGGCACTGTAGTGTCATTGCGTGACCGTGCCGTGTGATTGATGCAAGAGTGTCGTCAGCGTGACAGCGCTGAGTGCCGCTTCACAGTCGTACAAAGTCTAAACTAGAGTAGTTTTTGTATGACGTTCAAAGCAAGTGCACCCACAAAGAGGCGCGCAGAATTTTGGACCAATGAAAACACTAAAACACGGTGCCGTCACAGATACAGTACAGGAAGGCTTTACATTAAATTTAATTGGTGTTAGTGGTTTATCTTTAGAGGAAGAATTAACGTTTCCAAAAAAGATGTGCTCAATCGTCCAATATCTTTAAAACAAAGCTATTTTGGGGTATTTCCAATATTCAATTTGTCCATCAACAATTAAAAGATGAAACGTTTAGTCAATCTTTTAATGTGTGTTTGCAGGAGGCGACCTAGACGCTGATTGGCCTCTTTTTCCTGAACATCATAAAAATCTCCCTTTTTGTTTCGTTTATGTGGCTTGAGTTTTTTCTCTGTCTAGGGTCTTCCTTTTTCTGTTACAAGACTATTTTGTATCTGTTTGTCCATTTTTTTAATCCATTTTTTCTTTCTTTTGTTTGTTCTGTTGACTTTTCTCTTTGACACCTTTTATTCATATTTTATCCAACTGAATAAACTTTTCTTCCCGTCTTTTTCAATAAATCCAACATTATTAAACATTTAGTTTACCATATTCTCCCCTGTTCAAACATCTTTACTTTTTTTTTGGCATCACTTGAGACGCCAAATTTACGACCTCATTATAAACGCAAACTTAACGCGCTAATTACCTTCTTATCGCCTCGCAATTCATTTTATGCTAATGTTTTGGATTTTTTTTCCTTTTGTCAGCTGTTGCGAGTGCAGCTCGTCAAAGTAATGATCTTCAGGGCTCTTTTCGTGAAGAAGTTAAAAGAGCCGTAAAGACGAGGACTGATAAGGATACAGATTACAACCCAGAACGATTTCCCAACACAAAAGATTATCTTGAGAAATAATTGAAACAAATCACCGCGAACGGACAGTCGTTCGTATTTTCTAGATGTTGGTTCGATAGTTGATCGAAGTGCGTTCAGCTGACCAGTACTATTTGCCATGTAGAGTACATATGAAGAACCTTTCAATGTTGTTTAGATATTTTTCAATTGTTTTTATGTTCGTCAAAAATTTGTCCTTTGTTCCTGTTTTTTTTTTCATTTGATTCTTATATTCTTTCTTGTTTTCCCTTTCTCTTCCTTTTATCCTTTTTTCTTTCTTATTACCTTTCTTTCTCTTTCTTCCTTTTCCTCTTCTTATTCTCCCTTTCTTTCCTTTTTTCTTCCTCTCTTTTACCTATCTTTTTCCTTCTATATTTCTTTACCTCTTCCTTTCTCTTCCTTTCAACCTCTCTCTCTTTCTTTCATCCTTTTTACACGTAGAAAAATATTACCAAATTGCACAAAATATTAGATAGGAATCCGCTATAATCCTATTAGTCCATAGCGTCCAACTTGTAAATCAGCTTAACGGTAGTGGACTTGATAAAAATTCAGAAGCTGATGTACAACTCCCTCCCGAAATAAAATAAAATCCTTGGATCAAAAACAGTTGTTAGTTTTAAAAAAATTAGTTGAAATAAAAGTGAATGAAATCCGATATACGTGGATCGAAGCATTTGTCTTATCTCGTAATGGATAATGCATAAGAAGCCCCAAGCAAGGAAATAAAAGGAAATGCCTTTGATACTCGAATCCCATTTTCTGATCTTTGACTTATCGATAAAAAAAGTAGTTTGAGATCACGAAAGGCCGTGTATGAAATTCTTGGTAGGAAACCAAAATTTTCAAACTTTGCCTGTGGGATTGAACTGTTTATGTTACCTCTAAATATTTATGAAAAACAATATAGTTTGAGATCACGAAAGGCCGTGTATGAAATTCCTAGAGGAAAACCAAAATTTTCAAACGGTGCCTGTTTATGTTGAATATTTATAGTCTGAGAGATTAGTTCAAGGTAATTTAGATGCAAACATAAGTAAAATTTTTAAAAAAAGAATTTAAAAAAAATTTTTTTTTCAAGCCTTTATAGTGAATTTAATTCTAGTGGCCCAAGGGGATATTTGAGGCACTCCACATGCCAAGTTTTCACTGGTGTAGAATAYTATCAATGAGGTTAAATATTCATTTTTTCGAGGCTTTATGTTTGATTCTGAATGTCGAAATAGATTTAAGGTGGTTAATCATCGGTGGTGGTCCGAATAATGATACATGAGGAACTCCACAYCGTACGCTTCGCGTATCCAAGACTTAATAATTATATTCTGGCACTCGTACTTTTTCGAATGTTGACTACTTTAGACTTAAAATAAATAAGATTACGATCGGTATTTATTTGAYTTAGTAAACTCAAAAATCTCATCTTTTCTTTTCAAGACATTTCCGACCGGTTATTTTATTTATTACGATCGGATAAGAGTTGGATAATGAAAGTGGTCCTAAGATKAAACATGAGGAACCCCGCATCCTTTAAATGTTTGCAGTAATATTATGATTGACGTGTGAATTACTATAAACTATCTCAAGGTACCGCTACCGAATAATAAAAATGGTTCTAAGATGAAACATAAGGAACTTCGTATCCTTGAAATGTTTGAAATAAAATGATTAGTTTGTTACTTGCGAACTCTCTTGTCGCTATTTCAGAYCGGAGACTCTAGACCGCGCGGTTGTCATTATTAATCATAAAAATTGGTCCCAGAATGAAGCGTGAGGAACTCCGCACCCTATAAATATTTACACTAAAAATTTAAATCATGTTAAAAATTTGTAATGATTTTTATTTGTGAGACTTTTCACATTACTTCTGTATCGCTGTTCCTGACAGCTCCGACTAGTTATTTCAGTTCAAAGGAAACAAGTTGTCAAAGAACACAAGGTCCTCATAATATGAAGCAGAGCAACTCCGCGCCCTAGAGAAACGCTGAAAATAAAGATCGATCTAAAACGACTACGAGTATGGATTCTCATGGATTCTCATGAATTCTTTTGAAGGAAAACAAAAGTGGTCCTAAGATGATACATGAGGAACTCCACAGTCCTGGAAAAAGTGAGGAACAGACACCCGCAGCATTTACCAGCTTGAATTAACATTTGAAATGTTGCATGCCGCATGTTCGTTTTTACTTTCACGTGTATTGAATACCTAACACGTTTCTGTGATTAATAGAGTATATACAAACGTATTTTTTAACTGAGTACGCGTCAAAATAGCCGATGGCGCGCGGGGAAAAAAATCACCGAATTCAAAATCTGAGTTCTCTTCTGTCATAACAAAACATTCGCCGGTTATTACCTCTAGAGACGTTATTAATCAGAATATCCTTCTTAATATCAAACTTTTGATCTTACGCTAAATTTCTAAGAATTTCCTGAATTCATAATATTCGGAGCCCTTTGATGGCTTTGATAACCATTAAGATCGTTACCTCTCCAATATTATTCCCAATTCAAATTTAAAATTTGAGAGCATGTTTTTGATATTCTTTTGGAAGATCCCGAAAAGGATAATTACTTTGTTTGACCATTTTTAATTTTTTAGTTTTTAGATATATTGTTATTTGGGAAATAATTAATGAAAGTTTTGGCCTCCGTGTTGCTTTGGATAATTTAATTTTAGACATCGAATCGTTCATTTGAGGAAGTTTAATTTAGTCGATTTTGTTGGAGAACGGTTTTCATTGGAGCTATAGGTGTGTTCGATGCTTGCCTCAAAGATATCTRTGCCAGCTTGAAATATACCTTGGTAATTGTGTTTTCTGCAGGTTTAAGTATGACCTTCCTTCGATGAAGCATGTTAGTGACTTTAGATAGAATTTTAAAATATTTTCTTCGATTCCTCCATTTTTTTTCTTTTCTTCTTTTTTTCTTCGATTCTGTTGCATTTTTTCTTATCCCTATCAACCAAATTCTACAACCAAAATTTCAATTAAAAATGCCCCTCACAATCACGACACGACAAACCAAACCCTGAAACTCATTTAAAAAGATCCTTCAGTYTTTCAACCAAGCGTTTAATAATTGAAACAGCATGTAACTCTATATAATAAAGGTTATGTACATATTGCATTCCTCAGCACATTCATGTGGGAAATTTCCTAATTCCTTGGGTGACCAAAAACGAATACCTCACATAAAAAAATGCATCTTTAATATATTGTTACGCAATGCAATATCAAATCCGTGTCGCCTTGACTTGGAAATATTATGCTGCATGATTATTGTAAAGGTGATGATATTCAACAGATTATTTCAGTTTCATCCAAAAACAAAGACATCTTCGTATACTATTTTCACAAAATTATTAGTTATAGTAAGGAAGTCCGAGTGATAGCAGAATATTTTCCTATAATATTTTAACCGTCTTTCCTCACGGCTTGTGCAAAACAATTTTCTCGTTGATCAAGAAAGTTTTTAGCTTTACAGMAAAAGAAAGGCCACGATAATTTATCTGTGGAGGCCTCCTATATGATAGCCATTATAGCGAGCAACAAACGTTTTGCTCGTTCTTTCCCTAAGATGAGGCTCAGTTGTTTAACATTATTACTTTTAAATGTTTTATCAAGCAAAGCACTAAAGAAAGAAAGGATGTACAAGGGAATGTCGTGGATCGAAATGCAAGAATATAAAATCTTGAAGGTAGAGGGTTGGTGGAGAATGAGTTGTCAGTGGGGCTTAGGCTTGGGGAGAGCAAAATGGCGTTGTTAGGGAATCTAGCTGTCTCAACGCTACACTCATCCAGCTTTGAATGCGCGTGGACGACTATATAAAAACAGCGCAAGTCGGTCCTGTCCAGTAACCCTTAAAGTTCAGTTTCGCCAACAAATCTAGTGCATCCAACCATGCCAAACACTATGAGATGTTCAAGACGTTTCAACCTGACAGAGAATAAGTCAAAACTAAAATATCCACCAAGAAATCTAATAAAAATAAAATGAAATAGAATACATCCTGGTGCAAAACACAGAAACATAATCAAGAATRCAATACATCCTGCAACAAAAAGAATATGATACATCCTGCAACAACAGGAGACCTGACCAAGAATACAATACATCCTGCAACAAAAAGAATACAATACATCGTGCAACACCAAGAAAC